CCCCAAAACCCCAAAACCCCAAAACCCCATTATTAATATTTTAGATTGAAACTTCTTCCATTTCAAATGTAAAATCTTTCTTACTAGTTGTGAGCAGCAGCTCTAGAAACATGTACTTAGCCAGGAAGTATGCAAGAATAGAACTTTCTCTGGTAAGATATAGTCTGAGTATCGCAAGGCTGAAATTTGGGCTTAAGACCAAAATATTAGCATAAAACGTTAAGATGGAAATACGCAAAATTTACACAACTTGTTAAAATAAATTTGGACTAGCTAAGATACTGATCTGGTAATGGAAACAGATAAAAAGAGCTGAGTTATTTACTGAATATATTTATGTCAAAGTTAAAAGTTATTGTCATTTTCTGGGTCTTTGAATTTTTCAATCATTTCCAGTACTTCTTCTTTGGTGTATGAGTTATTTACTTTTGCTCCAAGGCCATGCACAAGGATTGAGTAGAAATCGAAAGCTTTAGACCCATCGAGCTGGTTCTCATAAGTACCGATATAGGTCTTTCTCTTGTTGATACTAATCATGGCTTGCCAATGATGTCCATTTTTGGATAGTCCAATGTAAGAAGATCTTCTTAGACTTCTATTCTCTTGTCTATCAGACTTCTTTCTTCCAGTCGTTACAACAGAGTCTAGAGAACCAAACATATCAAGCTGAGTGTACAAAGAATCGAGGTTGATGCTAAAGTTCAGCCTATCAGTTATCATGGCTTTGCGAGACTTCTTCGATGTTTTCTTAGTCTCACATAAGCTTTGATTCAAACTTTCGTTCGAATTCTTTCTCGTGCTTTCAGTTCAATCTCAATATTGAGAGAGGAGGCCATTTTTGAAGATATTCTGAGCTGGTTTAAAATCTAGGTAAGGGTTTAGCTCAAAAATAAGCTCTTGAGGCTTTTGCCATTCAAATGTTCTTTCTATTGAGGATTTGTAAGGTCTATAAGCCAAAAAGTTAGGATTTGCTAAGAATTAGAAACCTTCTTATGATATATAAAAATTTTCAGAAGGGTTCTATTAGTCACATTGACAAAATGGGTACAAATTTTGAGAACTTTCATAACGATTGAAAATGAGCTAAATTTCAAACTGAAATTCATAGTATTTTAAGCTATTAGATAAGTCCCTCTATTTGAGATTGCTTCAAATAAATCAAAGAAGTTTAAAAGATTAATATATACACGGAAAAGTGAAATATTATTTACTGATTTGTCTAAATTATTGCATCCATCGTCTTCAAAACTTTCAAGAAATTAATGCTGGTTAGCTAAGTAATTTTCTAAACCCTACTCAATAAAGAGAATAATATAATTAGTAAAAGATAAGAGTTATTAGTTTATGCGAAGACCTAGCTATAAGGAATAAAGAATTATTTACAACTCTTCCACACATGAACGGATGGATAGAGAAAGTAAACCTCAGTATTTCCTAAAGTATTTTTGATAAAAGAAGTAAACTTGGCAATGGTCATGGAAATACTCTTTCCGACTCTGCCAACTAAGGCTAAATTACAGTAATTTTATGTGTTGAGCAAAAAAGAGAGGCTGAATTCTTTAAGCCACTTGAGATCCATCATTGCTTCAAAGAAATTGTACGAAGGTGTGACCATCCTTGTTAGTTTATGATCTTACCTAAAGTCAAATGTATCCATTATTTATTTTAATTACTATATTTTCTTTTACACAATTTCTTTATATATTTGATCATAAATGCTGAAAGAAATGTTCCTCTATCTTCAAAATTACCGATCAATAAATTTTACTAAAATCTCAACTAGGAGGGATAGAAATATCCAGAAGTATCTTTTGAAAAGGGTTTTTATACTTCCTGCATCTCACACTTCTGCCAATCTCTGAAAAGCCTTACTTCACAACTTCTAAAAATCCGATGAGTCGGTGATAGTGTAAGACATAAAGCAAGATTTTCTGAAGGAATTCTTTAGCCTTAAGCAGTCATAATAATTTAAAAATTCACAATTATTGGTTCTGTGCTATCTAGTTTTAAGATCTGGGCTCTTTTCAAAATCTCCCTCGTAGTGTTGACAAATCTGAGACAGAATTCTACTACATTATAAAAATGACTCATAATTTGCTCTGGAACCTTCAGAAGATTTCTACAAGTTATTATCTCATTGCTGTCCTCTTTACTGAAGAAGTAGTGATCAATAAAGCTTTCATATCGATTTCAAAATAAAAATTTTCTTATAAAATAACCCAAAACTACGAAAAATCTAAAAGTGTAGAAATCTGAGAATATAGGAAAGTCTTTAAAACTTCAGAAAATTAAAACAGAGCAAGTTTTAGAGACGAGCACTGAAGAATTATAAAATGTGGCAAGGATCTTGTAGTTCAGACCAAAATATTGGACTAAAGTTCCCTTCTACTTGCTTATCCTACCATTATATAATCGTGATTTATTTCGAACGCCTATAGTTTTAACCAAACCATCTTAATTTAATTTGAACAGCATATTTTTCATAATTTTAAATAAACTTTCGTACTTTTTGAGTCACAAAAGCAGGAGAGGAGCTAACATCATACAAAAGCAGCATAAGTATCCGCTTAAATTATTTTTCAGATTAAGTAAAACTTAAGGCTGAATATGACCCGAAATTTAGCATAGGAAATAACCAAGAGAGCCTCTCCTTTCCGAGCGCTTTCTCTTGTTTAAGATACTTGGAACTGCTTGTCTTAATGCCCGTGAAGTTTATTTTCCTTCATGCATGGTGATGGCTTTCAACCAAGGGGATGAGATTCTGTAGTCACCATATAAGATATTCACTTTGGTTCTAAATGAACATATTTAAAATATCATGAAACAGTACACCGTTATATGAAATTGAAGTCCAGCATATTTTCTCCAGGGATCAAAGTTAATTAAGAGCGACTTCTCTTTGCTAGATACTTTCAGAAATAGGAAGAATGCCAATTAAAAAGATTCGGAAAGAGCTCAAGGCTTAATACTTAGAGAGAGCCTGAAGAATCTAAATTTAATTTTTAAGCTCTAATTTAAGCACATCTGAGCATGAAATTTGCTCAAGAGGTCCTAAATCATGAGTGATAAATTACTACAATTAAGTCATACCTAACAAGGTCTGCCAAGATTATAATAGTCTTTTATTTATTTATTTATCCCTTTTCTCACTGAATTAGTAAAAATCTTGATTAACTATCAGATAATTTGAGACCTAGATACTCTGCTCTTGAAGCTGAGGGGATACAGAAAGATACAACATTGCTTAAAGAAGAAATAGCGCAATTATAAGCCAATATGGACACATTTTAGGATGAGATGAGTTTGACCTCTCATAAAGGAAGAAGATTTTTCTCCTTCAAACGCTTCTTAATCTTATTTACTCTCCATATCAATTTTCCTTAAAATTTGATTGTTTTTTGAAGTCCTGAAATGTTACAGGTTCAAAAAGGATATGTTATAAACCCTTCTTTTAAAGTTTTGAAATTTCTCATCAGAATTTATGAATTTTCTAAAGAGTCTTCTAGTATACTCCTAATTTTTTTTTAAATTGCCTGGTATACTACTGATTTGATATTTTAAGACAAATAATATCGATTTTGCATAAAAATGATTTCAGAATTCATACTTAATTCGTGTATAATTTGGGCTAAATTCTAAAAGGCAAAATTCGTAAAAAATTCAAAGTCACCTAAAATAGCATTTTAATTAGGAGCTCAATAAATTCTTAAAAAATTGAAAGGGATCTAAAGGGTAAAGGAGTTAGCCTAAAATTCGTTTAAAAAGCTGAGGAGGGCAAACTTACAATTATTATCAGCCAAATCGTTCCGAGGCAAACAGATTTGACCAAAATACCTAAACGCTAGCACTTGGGCTAGGAAAATAGGGGGAAATTTTTGAGTTTTAACTTTATAGCAGAGCAGACTAAGGCAGGAGTATGCAAGAATTAATGAAATTGTTATAATTTATGTAGTAGTTGAGCAGGAGAGAGCATCAATACTTTTGCTGAAAAATTTGATTCAAATCCCACCGCGATGAATTTTGAAAAATAAGACTTTTCTAAACTATTAAAGTACCAATATTTTCTTCAAGAGCTTGGAGAGAGCTCAAAACAGGATTCTTGGATTCATCTCTGAAAGGAGATATTATATATGTGGCTTATGAGAAATTATAGACAAGAAGGCTACTACATCGGTGAAACAGAATCATTATTATTACTAAAATAAGCCATTTCGAAGCCTAGTGATCTCAGAATTTCTTCAAATAACCTCTAAATAGTAAATTCTGGGTAATTGGGAGTAAGACTGATATACATCTGACTCAAGCCGATTCTGCAACTTTAAGTCTACTTGTTAACTTCATTTAATTACTTATATTTTAATTTGCTTTTTAATGCTATTTTTGGCCTTCCTTCAAGAACATCGAAGAAAACTAAGAGATCTCTTTAGTCTTCTACTTTTAGAGAGAAATCAAAGAAATTTAGTGATATACATCAGAGCAACTCTATTTCTAGTGTAGTATTATTTTTAGAAAATTTCAAGTATCGATTATTTTAATCACTTCCAGAAATCCTCCTTTCCGGATATAAGTTCGGAACCCCTCTTTGGTCAAGCCTCATCTATTAATAGTAAAAATATCCCGAACTAAGACGATTTTGGTGCAAAACATTATTTAAAACTTTGGAAGGCTCAAATAAACGCTCATAATTTCATTTTTACTCTAGAGACTTGACAAGGCAGCATTAGATATTTGAAGGCATAAGAACTAATCTTTATAAGATTACTATGAAATATCACTTATATGTAGCCAAAAAGAGTAAGATTTCCCAATTAGGTAAACATTCAGCAGTGATAAACACAATAAAGAACCTATGTACTTGTAATAAAAGGAAGACTTGCCTAAAAGAACGAATAGAGTAGAGTCCTTTTAAGGGGAAGTGACTAATATTTCCCAAAAGACCTAAAGTTAACTTTCGACTCTGATATCCCTTGATAATTCTCTTCATAAATAAAGGAGGTCCCTTAATAAATCTTGTATGAAAAAGGTAGGCTAGGCGGTTTAGTAGATATTTTTGTCTAAGCATCACAAGTTGAAATTTGATAATAATAGGTGATTTCAACATATGATACATAGGCAGGGGTTTTGGGGTTTTGGGGTTTTGGGGTTTTGGGG